GGCCGAACCTCCACGGAGGGAGGGGAAGGCGAAGGGGCGCTGACGTACGTGGCCGGGGGGCGTGGCCGTGTACTTCAGCGTTGTAGATTCACAGACAATAGGCTACTATATATATGCTGACTTAAAACCTCCACTGCAGTATATGCAATAAAACACACAGTTACAAGCTGCAGACAATCAAGTAGCCAATTAAATAGGGTATATTTTACGTTAGCTGCATGAAGGCCATTGCAGCCTTCAAGAGACAATATTGAAGGGTGTCTCTGAAATAGACTGACATCACACATGCCTTAGAACTCTACAGCTGCCATAATATATTATATGAAGAATTTTTGATCACCAAACGAGGGAAGACATGAACATAGCAGCCAAGCAAGAATTGGTTTCAGTTGTATTAAATATTCAGAAAGGAATAGAATTACCTAAGCTAGTATAAAGCTATGGTCTAGCAATAAGATGAACCTTATCAGAAAGATATTCTAAGAACATTTAATGAGTTCACCTAGAGACTTAGTGTCATTTCATACCTGCTTCTTTTCCAGTGCGATCCTATTCAATAAAAACATAATTTGTGTTATTAACACCACAGGGCCTTTTTAAGGGTAGAATATTGGATGTTATTAGCACTAAGGAAAAGTTTTGGAAATATCTTTTGGTGGGACTTTATTGTTGATGAAACCACAAACAAAAACTACCTTCAAATAATGGTGTCTAATTTTAATTCCAAGTTTCCTTGCATTTTATTGAGTGAAAGTTCATTCTTTGTTCTCTTACCCCTGCTTTCTCACTTTTCAATTATCCAAATCGTCTCATTTATTTTGGAAAAACCCTACAAAATTGCAAAGAAATCCTTAGTTTTTTAAGTCTATTCTTAAAGTTACTTGAATGTTTTGATAGGCTAATTCCCATTTTCTGTTTGCATATAGACTTTGGGGGAAAATTGCAATCACTTTATAAAATAACACTCGTTTAAAACAAAACATAATAGGGGCCGCACAAATAGATGAGCGAGAGAGTTTTTGACGTGTTAACCTGCACAAATAAGTTGCATTGTCCAGAGCTGACCAGTTGGTTTAATAGCTTTGGAGATTACGGACTTCAGACACGAGCCCCAGCGTAAAATTGTTCAGCCAGCAGCAATTTAAAAAACTATCTACAGAATCCAACCTCCTGTTCATGGCCCTTTTAGCCAGTTCACAGCAACTTGGAATCACTGCCTTCAAGGCATACATGCAAGATCCAATTTATCCTGGCAAGTTAAAAAGGGAGACTTGTCCTGTACAGAAATCTGGTCTGTTCCCCTCTAGACTGCAAGCATTTTGGTGGTGATCAGGATCTTCATATCATTGCTGCCAGTTACTGAGCAAACTGCATCTTGGCCGCCTCCTGGTTCTGTTGAGTGTACCCTGGCCTCTACCCTCTTGTCAAAAGCCATTGCCTGACTCTGGGTGGAATCCCGGGATTTTCCCACTCTCAGACTGGCATGGTGTACCAGATGTCTTACCATCATCCACTCCTGGTAAGACTACCCGCCCTAAGCCTCTTCCATGGAGCTTTGCTCTGTCAGCTTGTGTCTCTATCACAGCTTGCTGACCTCTCCCTGGACAGCCCCTGGCAACTCTCCCCCTTCTTTTCCTCAGGAGGTTCTAACTGTCTAGTATTCTTTTGAGCTTCGCCTCCCTCCCTGCCAAAACAGCCCTGTCACTTCAAAGCATGCCCTTGTCTCCAAGTGTGTGCACTGGGAGGATCCTTACCTAGGTCCATTGCTTTGCTTTCCTGTTTGCTCTTTCCATGGCTCCTGTGTTGTGTTAGATCAATACAGGCCTACGGGAACGTCTAAGAGCCCAGCGTGCCAGAACTTCCCTTTTCTAACCAATCCTGCCCAGACCCTAACCCAATGGTTACATCTAAGTTTCCATAATGTTATTACAGATCAGATCTGCGTCTGTAACTATTACAAAGCAGAAGATGGTTTTTATTATAACATTATTTGAATAAGTAGAAGAGAGCCATAAGCAATGGAGAGAGTCTCCTCTAGCGTATACATTTTCAAACTACCGTTAGCAAGGGTCTGCAGAGTCTTCTGTGGAAGAAACATTTCGGTATAATTAATTTGATTCCAAAGAGTTTATCCTAAATCTGATCATTTGGGGTTTCTTTCTCTCTGGAGGGACTGATCAGAGAGCATCTTAATTTGCCTTTGGGAAGACTGCAGGATTTAAGCCCCTTTGTCTAGGGTTAGTAAACATACAATAATTAATGTCTGTGAGGGGGAAAAAAGGGATGTTTGTGGTGGTTGGGAGGGAGGGGGTCTGAAGTTAGGTATTTCAAAATGTAATCCATATCCAATATTCTATCCTCCAAAAGTATTACACGATCCACATTAGAGCCATCAGTCCGCATCGATGGCTTTAATATGTAATCAAAAAGTTCTCCATTGTATGCTCCTGTCCAGTCACATTCTCCATAACCTCGGTTTTGTTAGCTTCACTGTTCATAACTTACCTTTTTAAGCGTGGCTTTATTTGAATACTATTTGTATTTTGTTGCTTTTTCAGTGCATCATGCATCTTATTTTGTGAGGGGTTTTTTTTATTTTATTTTTATTTTTTTCCATTTTGTTTCTGGCATTTCCCATCGTTCTGTGGCCATGATTGTGGATGTATTTTGGTTTTGCCTGCCTTGCTGTATCTCTTGCCGCACTCCATAGATCCCCGTTGCACAGTCCTCTGTCATGGATGACATTGAGGAGTGGCTCAGTACCGACTTGGTGAGACTTTTTATATTTCGTTTTTCATGTAGGAAGTAGGACTTGTGCAGATGCATAACTTTGATGTAAGCTGTTGGGGCTGCTCTGTGGTTACCTATGCAGGGAGGGAATGACACCTTATAAATTGGGGGGGGTTCCCCCAGGGAAGGGAATAAATGAACTCATAGTTGCCGTTAGCAGTCACCTCATCCAAAGCACGTTTCTGCGCTGCTATTGTATTGTGTTTTCACTTCTCCATTCTCAGTGTCACAGAGGTGATGGGATTGTCAGGAATTTGGACTTAAGGAACTCAACGAAGGAAAATACTTAAGCACATACTTAAGTCCACCTTTATTTAAGCACATGCTTAAGGCCTATTGAAGTCATTGGGGTTAAAGCACATGGTTAATTGTAAGTCTGTATTTCAAGTGCAATGCTGAATAGCTGGAGTGCTGAAATGGGATCTAGGGTCTTTAACTTTAAAGAGTAAACCTTACCTGTCTCCATTTAAATTGGTTTGATAGCAGTGGCACACTTTTAAATGTCTGGTCTCTGTCCCTGCATCCCTCTTCTTTTGGCTGATGTCTTGTTAGAATCTTGAAACTTTGTGGGGAGAAGGAGGGAGTGGGAGGCAGATTCTCTGCTGATTTTTGCTTTTCCCTATTTTGTCAAATGTTTAGTTTGCCCCCTTGTTCTCCAATTCAAGGGAGTACAAGCTTACATGAGTAGTTCCACTTCAAGGAAGTAACATCAGTACAACTCAGTTGATTGTCACGGTAGAGCAAGCTATACAAAAGTTAAACATGAAGCTCTAACTGCTGTGTTCATTCAAAAACTTCTGTATAATGGAATGATGCTTACACCTTACATGAGGCTTCATTTTCAAAGTGTTAGTTTTCACAAAGCCCTGGTAAGGCAGGTGACGGTCCCATTTTACAGATGAGGAAAGCAAGGCAGAGAAGTAACTCCTCCCTTTCAAAGGTGACTGGATTTGGGGAAGTCAAGCTACTTGAAAGCATCCGTTTTTTTATGCGATAATTATTTGAAAATTGTGCCATCTAGTTGGGATTTAATACAACTTCCTTATTTAATAATTGTGAATTCTCAAATCCTGATGAAACACATGCTAGACATCTAAATATAAAGTTGTACTAAACTTGTGTGATGTTAGCCTCTGCTACTTCTCCTAGACAACACACTAGTTTCCATCCTTTTATATCAAGCTACCCATTTTATTCTTGTCTACAGTCACAGTGTCATAAGCTTTACACTCGGCTTTTTTTCCAGTCATAAATTCTAAATTCTAAATTAACCGTCCATTGTATTCGGGAAAAATATTGTCCCTAAACATTTCATCGGAGTCTCTTCCTCATCTGATGCACTGTTAACGAAAGTCACAACCTTGATGTCCTAAAGGAATTATGAACAGATGAGATGGCATTTCCTGTAGCTATCCAGTTTTGTATTGGGTTATGGCTTCTCTTGCTAGGAAAAGACCTGCTCTCTGGGAAGTGGAGAAAATGGAGACTGACTGACTTGCTCAGGTCTAATTGGGACTGCCTGGATAGAGGACGGCACTATCATTTCGGCTATTTCTTTGGTTGCACAGAGGAATACTGGGTTTTTCTTCTGCGTCCTGACTTGAGCACTGACTGACTCCTCTAGGTTGTCTTTCTCAAATAGTAGCCATGTTTAGATACAGGGCAGAGGCAGGGCATGATATGGGTTACTTGTAAGCATGCTTGGGGGTACTGGAAAAGAGGTACAGTATGTACGTTCATGCTTTTTCTTTGTTTCAACTGCAGAAAGGAGAAGAACTGGAGGAGGGTGTGACTAGTGAAGGTAAGCAAGGAAGCTCTGGCTTTCAGAGCTATCTCAGTCCAGTGCCTTAGACTGGAATATCTGTACTGATCTCTTCGGATACAATCACCCAGCAGAGATCCTCTTCCACTCCACCGAACTCTTGGTAGCTGACAGTCCACCGCACACGATGTGCTCTGTGCGCTTTCCTTAGCCGTGTGAGAGAGCAAAACCCAATTCAGTGATTCTAGACACCCTCCGAATGGTGTGGGAGCTTAGATAATACAGACAGGGGTGACCCACGCTGGGTACTTCAGGTACAAACCAGTGGAGTGTGGGAAATGGTCATTATTTCCTCCTCCTCCCAGCCACAAGAATAGCACCTGATAGTATTTCTCCCTATGTTTGGGATCAGACCCTTGACTGGCATGTGAGTGTTGATCCACTCTGCTGACTAAACAGTGTTACCGTGATGCTGCTTTCTACGGCCGGCCGTACCCTCGTGAGGGTGCTGTATTTGTGCAGGTGGCTTGTGTGTATGACAGGCTGGCCCAGGTGGACTGGCAGCAAGGACAGAGTTCTCAGCCGAAGGCTTGTGACCCCATGTTACCAGCATTCCCTGTCCCATTTAGCCAGGAGGCAGTGGCTCCAAGCCTTTTGCTTTTGTCAGCTGTTCTGAGCTATCCCAGGTTGACCATTGCCATCAGAAAGCTGCACTTGGGGCCTGTGTGCTAGTTCTGGTAGTGGATTCTCTGGTATGGCTCCTGTGCTCATGTACTCTGTTGGCAAGCAGAACACAGGGGGCATAAGATTTGGATGGCCCTTGGAGTCAGCTCATGTCCCTTGTGGTGATCCCTCTGGATCAAGGATGGAACACGCTGGGGAAGCGTGAGGAAGCTTTCGGTAACACTGCCCATGCTCTGCCTGTCCTGTGCGTCCCCAGAGAACAGCGTGTGGCTAGATTCACGCCAAAGACAATCACTGGTCCAACCCTAACTCTGATTCTTCTCAATGGTTTTTGCCTTGCAGAGTTTGACAAATTTTTGGAAGAACGAGCCAAAGCTGCTGAGATGGTCCCAAATTTACCTTCTCCGCCACTGGAGGCTCCCACTCCTCCTGCGAATCCTTCAGGCAGGAAGAAGCAGGAGCACTCGGAGGATGCTCTCTTCGCGCTGTAAAGATCACACCGGACTCCCTTCCCTGGGCTCTGCAGAAGAATGTCGCTGTACAGTCACATTGTCCTCTCAGTTTTTGGCAAACCATGACCCCTTTGGCCTCCTGGTTTCATCAATTGCTTCTCTTGCTTATCTCTAATCCCCCCTCTGCCCAAACTGGCTTTTGTATTGAAGGCCAGCTCTCCTCCTGCCAGACCACAGTTCTCCAGCACTAGCTTAACCTCCCCCCTTCCCATCCAAGCTGCATAAGGACAACTCTTAATGCCGAACTCCCCCTTTAAAATGCATGAGTATTTCTTTACCTTGTTGATATGAAAGTGTAGCGAGAGAGCAGACTTGCCTTAGACTTACATAGGGACCACCCCCTTCTGTGGGTTAGACGCTTCCAAATAGGCCGGCCTGAGTATCAATCTGCATGTAATGGACTGAAACCGAATGGAAATGTATTTTCATGTTACATACAAAACGTCAAGGTATCCGCTTCTAATAGGGTTAGACAGCGAAGAAGAACAGCTTTTCCCTTTCAACACGTGCTTTACAAATTAAAATCTGTCTCTGTCCCTGACCCCCTCCCAAACCTAGTACCACATGGCGGTTGCTTTTCTCCACTTGGTGATGCTTCCAGCGTGTTGTCTCATGGGTTTTTTCTTTTCTCTGAGTTGATCTAAGCTTATGCTGATTTGAAAGCAGTTTGTTAGTTTTGTCCAGCAGAGCCAGTCCTTATAACATGACTAAGAAAATACTGGGATAAATGGCTATTGTAACACTAGATGTCATAGGAAGTATTTCACTCATTGAGGGAGCTTTTTCCCCCGGTAGTATTTGGTCTAGAATGTGTGCCTTTGAAAGCCAGACTTCTCCCTAGCTTGAGACTATTTCTTCAATAACTAGCTCTGAGGCTAAGCAGGCTCTGCCTTCGTCTCCTCAACTGGTTTAAGAACACCTTGGCAAATGGGCGGGTGTCAAAGATGTAATGGGTGTGACTGGCTACGATGGAGGGGCCTGTTTGCTGAATGTCCCGTGTATACCCTGTAGCACTGGTGGGGTTAAATCCAAAATGTTGCGGGAGTTGTGTCATTAGAAAAAGGGGCCGGAGTTGTGATTGGTTTAGGACACTTCCTAGGTAAATGGATACCAGGGGAAAGGTTTTAACGGGCACTTTGGCTGTGTATATCAGAGATGCGGCTCTTTATTTTCCTGCTGGAAGGCTTGGGCTCAAACACTGTGGGTTATGAAATAGACATGGCACACCTTAGGCCACCTAGCGCTAAGAAGCGCCTGTCCCCCTGCCCATCCCGCTTTCTGCCTGGCTTGGGTTTTGTTCCCTTTGTTCTCCAGAGGAATAAGCTAACAATGCTGCTCCCCTTGAAGCTGTCATGAAGGATTCTTCAGTGGATGTCTGCCTCGGGGGGCCAGGGCAAACTGAGCTGGAGCGCAGGCAGCCCGCACGCCAGCATTTCCAGTACGGACTTGCTTCCCTCTCTCTCCCCCTCTCCTGCCCCCTTTACCTCTCCTGAACAGAGTCCTGGGTAGAAAGCCAGTGGAGCAAGATGGAACAATAGAGGTGGGAGCTCATACACTGCAGAGCTGAGTTACCAGAGTTGCTGTATCAGCGCAGCACCCGTGCACCTAGACGCTCTTTCTCCCAACTCACTAGTCTCACTAGTCACGAGAACTGCTTCGGTTTGACTCGGTGTGTCAGAAGCGCCCTGAGTGCTGCCAGGCGTGCACCGCTCACACCTGCTCTGCTCCATCCTCGGAACCACTCGGACAGCATATTTGCATTTAGCGAGAGCTGTTCTCCCCTGTGCCAACGCCCAGAACATCTGTCTGCGTTGGTTTGATCTGGTCTGTCTCCATTAGCCTGCAGCGGTTGGGCACGTCCAGTGTTGGCGAGGCAGCGATATCCACACGAAGCATTGTCAGTCCCCCAGCGGCCCACGTCTTTGAGAGACAGCGGTGAAGCAGAAGGGTCGGCGTTGATTCTTGAAACACATGTGGCTTGCCGCTAGGGGCAGACATTGGGACAGGACGGTGCATGACTTAGAACGTCAGTTATAGTGGGAAGGGCGGAGCTCCATCTCGGTCTGCATTCCTTGTCGCAGGACAGCCTGGCTGTGGTCAGTCCCGTCACCTGGGAGGCACATGGACCAGCCACTGCACCTCTGGCTAATTCCAACCCCCCACTTTCTCCAGCCTGCCAGATGTGGCTGCAGTCTACCAAGAAGCCAGTCAACCTCAGGTAGCGCCAAGTGACTCCAGGGCATTTGTTGCCTGTGCTAAGTGAATTCCTGGTGTCCATGTCTACAGGAAGCTCATGGGCATTCCTTTATGTGCCTAATTTTTAAACTTGCCCGGGCAACACCCTGACCCTATAAATGGCTACATCAGGTGACTCGGCCAGATCCCAGATAGGCACGCTACTAAAGAAGGGAGATGTTCTCCAGTTTTTCTCAGCTCAGAAATCTGGCCTTTGTCTAGAACTTGAGTTTCCTGAGGAGGAAAGGGCCAATGGGACGGGATCACGGTGAAGCGTGGAGGTAAAATGTGGTGGCCTTGGATTCTGCCATTGGAGAGCATGGGTGGAGTCCTCCACAAGAGAGAGACCGCTCATCTGCCTGCTGCTGTCTCTCGCCTGCAGGGAAGGAAGGGGGTTACCCCCTCTTCTCTCAACCATGCTTCAGCATGAGCTGCTGCCTTGGAGAGAGAATAGGGCAAGCTCTTGTGGACCTGCTCTCTGACCGCCTGCAGCCTCTGATGGGGGAAACCATAAAATGGAGCCAGACAGATGATGCTGAGTGGGAATGTGCTGAATGTTGGAGAGAGGCGAAGGGCCTCTGAGCTGTGCTTCTAACCTCAGTCTCTATGGGTTCCTCTTTGCCATCTGGCATGATCAGGGAGTCCGACGTAATGCTGTTTTCAAATGGTAGCAAGGGCTGTTGGCTAAAATCCATTGGTGGAATGGGCTAGGCATTAGCTAGGGAAATATCCTACCTTGGGAGGAACGGGCACCCACGGTTGAGGAGACGATTGCGGATAGGGAGTAGCATTGACCTGTGCTCCTGTCCAGTTGTGCCTGCCGGTTGGCCCTTCAGTAGTAAGAACCACCAGTTCTCTCTTGCATATGCACCCCTCCGCTCGCACCACCGAAAGGAGCCCTGCTATCCGGGTAGGGCTGGTGCCTGACTCAGCGTGCTGGGCACCCGCAGAAATCAGCAAGAGCCGCGGGTGCTCAGAACATCTGAAAGTCGAGTCCGTGGCCTCCGTTGTAAATGTTGGAACTTCCCAGTGTCCTGCATCAGGATGTGCCAACTTCTCCGTTCTGCTCATTGTGATGTGCAAGAATGTGAGCCCTTCACTCCCAGTGAGGGAAGGACTGGCTTGTTCCATTTGTCATTGGAAGCTGAGTCCCCTCCATCGCTCTTCCTCCCCTTTATTGTAAACGCTTCTTCCACCCAGGTGAGGAGAGGTCTGACATCGCTCTGATATTCCCAGGTGAAGGGGGAGGACTGAGTCACAGTTCTCCCCACTTCCCAGGGCGCTACGGTGTCAGAAGAGCAGCATGGCTAAGCAGAAAGCCTTTCTCAGAGTTTAGAAGTCACAGCTATATATTGATGACACTAAATTAACGGGCTCCTTTGCCAGGCTAATGAGACTTTATTCTAGGTTCGAGTATTTATTTTGTCCAGACATGCTTTCCAACGTGTTTAACATAATCCGTTAACTTCGTGTGTGCTGAGATGTACAAAATGCATTTGTTTCTATTTAAAGATATCTCTTTGGGGGTTTTGTTTTAAATGTTGCGTGTAGATTCCAGGTGCATCTTTGGCAGGCGTAATTGTTAACAATGTGCTGTACAGACTTTTAGGGTATTTAGCATGTGTGCAAGATTCAGAGGAGAAAAAGAGCTCGTTCAAACTTAGCATGGTCTCTCTTAAAGGGAAGAGTATTTGTATGCTAAGCGGCCCAAGCTGGGCCATCATGTAGCCTCCCATGTCCCTTTTTCCTGCCAACTTTAATAACCCCATCCCGCAAATTACATTGACCCAGTCGGCTCAGGTGTCAGCAGTTCAGGTTTGTTTTTACCCTTCTCGGCAGAGGGAGTTCTTAAGGAACGAAGCTAGCTGCTTCCACCTTAAATGGAGGACTTCACCCGGTCAGACGCGGGGACAAGGCTTGGTTTCCTCCAGGGGAGGAGGAGGAGATCTAGTCTGAGACTTCCAAAGGCACGGAGGAAGTTAATTGCCCAGCACCTGTTGGATTTTAATGGGAGTTGGGCGCCTCCTTGACTCTCTGGAAACCTCAGCCAATGTGACCTGTATCTGCTGCTTCCCATTCGCCACTCTCCTGTTTCCACCAGTGAGGATGGCACAGGTGGTGGTGGAAGAGGAGAGCAAATCTGCTCTAATGTACCAGTTTATGTCCTTTTAGGGCCTTGTAAATTCCAGGGCCTCCTATGGTGTTGGGATGCTGTGGGGCATGGTTATGCCAGTTGGCTCCATCCCTGGGCTGGGCTGATTGAGCTTGGTTGGTCGGTGTCTGGTTACCTCCTCAGTACCAACCCCGAGGCTTGTAGAGGCTGCCTTGGGTGTTGGGAAGGGGGCAAAACTCAGGACAGTTTTTCAAGGAGATAATGGAGCAGCAATCGGTGGGTAAATCCTATTCTTGTTGGCATCTTCCCGCTGCCTTTGTCTGACTGGCCCAGTAGTCAAATGGTGGCAGAAACCCCCTCTTGCATGCCCTTAAGAGCACTCAGGTGCTGCTACCATTCACTTAATAACCCTCTCCCGTCCCCCTCTTTCTGACCCCTGTGGGACCAGTTTGCCCCAGTTTGTCCCTTCGACATGGGACTTTCAAACCTCGCAATGCCCATTCCTGCCTCGTGAGAGCAGCAGCAGCAATCTCCCCATCTATCTGGGCGGAGGGCAAGGTTCCATTGGACTGCAAGCTGGCTTTGGTCCCAACTGATGATTTACCCATCCATTGCTCCTTCCTGCTGTCTCCACCGTGTCCATGGCAAGCGTATGCCAAGCGCGCCACCCTGCTCTGTGTTTTTAGGAGTGTGAGCTCTTCCTCCTTCTGTAATGTTACGAGCTACCATTAACACTACAAATGTAACCTGTGTATCAGCGTCTCTCTGTATATTGAAGCTGTAGGCTTTCCAGATAAAAGTGGATAATATTTATTTACTGGAGATATTGGGTATTTTTTTGTTTGGGGGAGGAGGTAGGGGAAAGGGGACTTAACTGTTTAAAAATATTGACTATGTAAAAACAGAAGAAACACACTAAATAAATGTGTTGCCGTCTTTATGTAGAAAGCCAATGTGTTTATGTAAGAATGATACAAGTGTATTAATCTACCATCCGTTAACTTACAGAAATCATCTCTAGTTTGGCTCTTGCATGTGCAATACTCCAATAAAAGCACTACCAGTGTGAACTGTACAGTGATGGCTATGAATCTGTGTCTTCGGTACACCTGTTGTCTTGCTTTCCTTTCCTCCTGCTCTTCCTAACCAGACCGCCTGTTTATTTTTGTCCCGCCTTGAATTGTTCATCAGCCCACAAAGACTCAACATATTCCCAGTGTTGTTTTTATGTGATGCTTGTGATACAAAGCCATCTTTCAGGTCTCTTTCGTTTAAATGCATGAAGTTTCAGACTTGGCCCAGTTTTAAAATTGTTTGCTGGTAGGAGATAGAATCATAGAATTATAGGACTGGAAGGGACCTCAAGAGGTCATCGAGTCCAGCCCCCCGCCCTCAAGGCAGGACCAAGCTCAGTCTACACCATCCCTGACAGATGTCTATCTAACCTGTTCTTAAATATCTCCAGAGAGGGAGATTCCACCACCTCCCTTGGCAATTTATTCCAATATTTGACCACCCTGACAGTTAGGAATTTTTTTCTAATGTCCAATCTAAACCTCCCTTGCTGCACTTTAAGCCCATTACTCCTTGTCCTGTCCTCAGAAACCAAGAGGAACAAATTTTCTCCTTCCTCCTTGTGACACCCTTTTAGATATTTGAAAACCGCTATCATGTCCCCCCTTAATCTTCTTTTTTCCAAACTAAACAAGCCCAGTTCATGAAGCCTGGCTTCATAGGTCATGTTCTCTAGACCTTTAATCATTCTTGTCGCTCTTCTCTGTACCCTTTCCAATTTCTTCACATCTTTCTTGAAATGTGGCGCCCAGAACTGGACACAGTATTCCAACTGAGGCCTAACTAGTGCAGAGTAGAGCGGCAGAATGACTTCACGAGTTTTGCTTACAACCCACCTGTTGATACAACCTAGAATCATATTTGCTTTTTTTGCAACAGCATCACACTGTAGACTCCTATTCAACTTGTGGTCCACTATGACCCCTAGATCCCTTTCCGCCATGCTCCTTCCTAGACAGTCGCTTCCCATCTTGTATGTATGGAACTGATTGTTCCTTCCTACGTGGAGCACTTTGCATTTCTCTTTATTAAACCTCATCCTGTTTACCTCTGACCATTTCTCTAACTTGCTAATGTTCTCAGCATTCGTGTTTAGGTGAATTTAGTGTGTGTGGAGGGAGGTGGTTTGGACTGAACCTGGAAACCACAAGTCTCTGTCCAGAGAACTGAGATAATACAGGCAACAGTAATGCATCTTCCCAACCCTGGCCTATAGGAACCCTGAATAAAATGGAGATTTAAATCTTCAGACTGCAAATTGGTGTCAAGGGTGGAGATTGTGTTGGTGACACCTGGCCATTTAGTACCAAACCACACACTCATTTCATAGGGACCATAAAATGGCCTTCAGATGGTAACTCATTATCAGTTTGATCTGGTGATTTACTAGCAAGAGGGCATTATTAAGCCCCTGTCTATCTGATTCCTTTTGTGTGCCGTGAATTCTAGGTATATCCCTTCTTTACCTTGGCACCTCAGCCCTTTCAGTGCAAATGCTACCAATCACCTGTTCTGTGCACTTCCCCTGCTGGCTGTGCAGCTTCAGTAAACTGCTGAAAACGCTGTCTCCTAGAGCTATGTCCACTTGTCTACTTCTTCTAGGGCAGCCGACAGCAGACTCATGTGTGGTAAATGGAAGAGTAATTACTTTGTTAATATAGCACTAGAAATGTCATGAAAAAAATGTTCTAAATGCAAACAGGCAGCTGAAGAAATGGTGCTGTCTAGTTTCTAAATGGAAAGTAAAAACAACCGTAAGTAGTTTGAAAGATGTTTGTTTTTGTTTAAGTATGGGGTTTGCTAGCTTGAACTGTTCTGAGAATTCAGCATTTCCCTTGGTACCGGCAGGCTGGCTTTCAAAGCAGCTGAATTCAAGTGAAACACTCTCACTTTGAGACATCCCAAATGGTGCCATAGAGAAGGTAAGGGTTGCCTTTTTTCCCTTCCACATTCCCTGCTAGTTAGATCACGAGTTGGTGGATGGCAGTGTTGCCTGTAAGCTGAGCACTTTGGCAGCCATCCAGGAGAGATTCAAATGCTGCTCAGTTGATTAGCTGGCACTGTGTGTTTCTACTGGTGCACGTCCACACATGCTTTGGTGCACAGAACAAAACATATTCCACACATGAAAAAATTTTAGAGGGATGTTGGTGGGTGCTGCTAATAATTGATGCCTTTGACAATAAGTTTATCCAACTATATGTACAGTATGATGGGGGCTAATTTGGCTACGACAAATCAGGAAAGCGATCTTGGAGTTATCGTGGACAGTTCTCTGAAAACTTCCACACAGAGTGCAGCGGTGGTCAAAAAGGCAAATAGGATGCTAGGAATTATTAAGAAAGGGATAGAAAATAAGACCCAGAATATCTTACTGCCCCTGTATAAAACTATGGTACGCCCATATCTTGAATACTGTGTACAGATGTGGTCTCTTCACCTCAAAAAAGATATTTTGGCCTTGGAAAGGGTTCAGAAAAGGGCAACTAAAATGATTAGGGGTTTGGAACGGGTCCCATATGAGGAGAGGTTAAAGCGACTGGGACTTTTCAGTTTAGAAAAGAGGAGACTGAGGGGGGATATGATAGAGGTCTATAAAATCATGAGTGGTGTGGAGAGGGCCAATAAAGAAAAGTTATTTATTAGTTCCCATAATAGAAGAACTAGAGGACACCAAATGAAATTAATGGGTAGCAGGTTTAAAACGAATAAAAGGAAGTTCTTCACACAGCGTGTAGTCAACCTGTGGAACTCCTTGCCAGAGGAGGCTGTGAAGGCTAGGACTATAATAGAGTTTAAAGAGAAGCTGGATAAATTCATGGAGGTTAGGGCCATAAAAGGCTATTAGCCAGGGGATAAAATGGTGTCCTTGGCCTCTGCTTGTCAGAGGCTGGAGAGAGATGGCAGGAGACAAATCGCTTGATCCCTGTCTTCGGTCCACCCTCTCTAGGGCACCTGGTGCTGGCCACTGTTGGCAGACAGGATACTGGGCTAGATGGACCTTTGGTCTGACCCAGTACGGCCGTTCGTATGTTCTTATGTTCCTACAGAACTGAAATTCCAACGGCTGTTTCAGATTCATCCATTCTGCTGTCACAAAGGTGTTTAGAAATGATGCGCCACACACAGCCAACATGCTGCTGCTCCTATCGCCTTTTCAAACATTGCACTGGTTTGTTTACTGATAGTCAGATCATGTGCCTGATTCTTTGTGTGTCAAATGGTCTGGCAGGAGGTGCAGTTTCCAGTTCTATTCAGAACAAAGGTGTATAGCTACCATTGGCCCGACAGAGCAGAAAACTGCATGAAAGGCACTAAATGGTAAATTCCCCAAACAGCAGATGCTGCATTTGCAGTTGCACGTTATAGAATGC